TATATTATAGTACTTGTTTAGAAATTCTTAAAACTACACTCTTAATTAGGGTTTAGGTCTGCCTTAAGCGTTATCTTAACTCTGTCTCAGTGATTTCCAAAGGATTGTGCCCTTTTTTGCTTACCATTGTCTTGGGGCATAACTTCAAGATTTCTTGAGTGCGACTATTGTCTTGGCCAAGACAACGGCTGGAATTAGGCTACTAGTCTTCAAGATATCTACAATGCCTTATGAAGATAATCTGTTGCTACTTGGGTTAGCCCCTCGTGGTAATCCAAATAAATATGCTTACCTATGTTACGAGTGGGCTCACCACAATAGTCGAGCGGCGCGGTGGGATTCGAACCCAAAATTCGAAATGATGATATTGATGCTTTTTTCCCGTTCCCCTAAATATGCCGGTGTGTATATTGAGGTCTTGACGTAGCTATGTCCAGCAGTGGAAGTCGTATGTCTGAAAATTAAATGATGATGATAAAATTTATTGTTCACAGGATATTTATGGGTGATGAAATATGGTGTCTGCGGGTATTATCAACAGCGCTGGAACGGACGAGTTTATGTATTCTATTCACAAGGAAGATAATTTCAGTTCATATTACATTATAACTTCTTAAATTGTTTTAAGTTTTTATTAGTACGGTTCAATGTGAAACCTGCAGCTCAGTACAGTTCAGTGTATAAATGCGCTGGAGAAAGGGCCCAAGTTACTAAATAAAAGCATTGACTTTGATGACTTTGACTTTGCCGATCACGAATAATTTTAGAGAAACTGTTTTTTACTGCAAATAATAGAGATATAATAATACATTGTGGGTGGACGTCCCACACGCTGCGCTTTCCGGTACGCGGCCTCCACTTCTGCGTACTATGTGACCTGCAGTGCGATTCTATAAAACCTTCACCTAGACATCGCAACTAAATCCGCGATGAGTTTTTAGATTTGCATTCTATAAACTCGATCGTCGCCACGAATTTACTCTAGCGCTACGCTTGTCGGCGCGGCAGCGGGTTGAACTAATTGATCGTGAGATTTTGTATGGGATGACGTTTTGAGTGGCATTCTGTAAGGAAATTCCAGCCTCATTCCGAAACACACTTCGCACTCGAATGCGCTCCAGAATGTCAAATAAAAAGTTAGTATTTTGTGAGTGAGAATAGACGGAGTTTTAGAAAATTGCATTAAAATTACTTTGATTAGTGTTCACATGTGTTAAAAATAAGTTTTGTGATATTTATTTGAACTTNAGGGATGACACGAATGTTTTTATTAAAGGCAAAATGGATTTCAACTCGAGTAAAGGTAAGCCTAAGTAAAGTTATTTTTTTATTACATTGATATTATTACACAATTTAAAATAGATTTCAAAGGGTTTGATATAAAGCTAACGAGTTCACAATAGGTACATTCACATACAATTACATAATAAATATTGTTTAATTAATACAATAAATAACTTATGTCCTTGTGTGATAGAGCAGGTCTTTTTCCTGTTCTTTGATCACCCTTATGTAACCTCACCACTCGAAGAATGTGTCTTCTAATATTATTTCTTTTTTCAGATAACAGATAAAAGATCTAAATAAGTCAAATGCGGATCCAACTTAATATGGTGGAATGGTGGTGCTATGCAAGTCTGATTTATTTTTAATCACTGTATTTACCTACCTATAGTAAAAAAACCACTTAAGAGATGTACAAAGGCTGGTGATGAAGTGGTTTTGCTTGGTGAGTCACTACTACTTAGGATGTGAGGCAATTTTAATTTTTGTAATGTGTGATTGATGCTTGTGTTCTTTTTTTTAGGTGATTTAGGATATGCTCCATGCGCCTGCCTAATGACACCAG